CGTAGAATTTTCCTACATCCATCTACAATATAACCTCAGATTTCATCAACCAACGCAAATATTTAAAAATTCATCACTTATTAGCTCTTTTTTTTTATTATTATTATTATAGAAAACAATTATACATAACTTCACTTATCAGCTTTAAACATCAAAACATTCCCAAATTCAAGATATAATGACCATATTCCTTATCTAAATCATAACCATGGCTACAAAGTTGAGACTAGAAACTTACACAACTTCCACAACTACTGCAGCCCAATTGGTTATTTGAGTTCTTTATAGGTTCAGCCCAAGTCAAAGTCACATGATTTCTAAAGCATTCCCAACCTACAAACAACACAAAGTGTTTTCCCAATAATTTCACTTTTTTCCATTTATTCCAACTAAAAACCCAGAGAGGAGTCCTACGTTGCTTCATCTTAAGGACAAAAAAGTGATTAATGCGAAAGAATTTCAAGACAAAAGCGATAGCTCAAAACACTAAATCATACAAAAGCACTTAGTTAGAAGTTTTGTAAGGGTAGTATTGAAGAATCTCATTTTATCTCTTGATAAACCCTAACCTTTTGTAAAATTAGTATTGCGTAATATGACTTGTGTTTTGCTAAACCCTAACCTCACCTCTTTAAGTTTATTTTTGAAAACGTAATATGAATTTCATTTTTGTGGGTGGGTAACCTTATTACAAATTGTAAAATAGTCATTACAGTCAGTAGGAGAACAACCATTAAAAGTGTTTCGTTATGTCTCATAATTATATTGGATATGTAGAAGTGTTTCATGCACCTGGTTGGCAATTGACTAGGGCTAATGCAATTTCATAGCACCTGGTTGGCAATTGACATATACATGTTATTTTTCGATTGTTTATTTGATAAGACTACTTTTTGTTTTGTTTAATATGTTGTGTTCTTGGATGTTCGAACTATGGAATGGATTGAAAGATTTAAAAAATAATGGGTTGAAGTTAATTTCGTTCACATATTATTAAACATTGTAAAAATTTCCATGAAAGTGGATGGCATGAGAACAAGCATTGAGATTGTTTTGGATCCCTGAGAATTACGTTGAATGAGAGATATATTGGAGTACAAACATGCAATGCCTAAGGGTCTTGCAATTTCATATCTCCTCACAAAATATATGAGTTCAAATATTATTTTCCCATTGATATGAGTTGACATGTTATTATTTGATATAGTTTGACAATTTGCATATGAGTTGACATGTTATTATTTTCTATTGAGTTTATTTGATATATTAAATGTTTTTCTTGTTTAATGCAGGCTTATCATTAATTGGACTTATAAAATGGTGAGAAAGAACAGTGATGTGCATAGTAAGGGCAAAAATCCAAAAACAACAAAAGATGAGTCCAAGATGATGATTCATTGAAAAGACCGGTTACTTTAACTTTCTGTAAGTGTTAAACGGCTCTTCCAGTATATTAAGTACTTTTTATAGGACTAACTAAATGTGAATGTTTTAAATAGGAAAATAAAGGGCAATGAAATGAAGCAACAAAAAATAGTGGAGAAAGTGGATACAAAGGTGATAAATTGTAAACAATACATTTAAATAGAGACGTTACAGCTCACAACTTATAATAAATTGATTGAATTTTATTATTTTCTTCCTCAGACGAAGAAGGAAATTGCAAATATGTGGCAAAGGTTGGATGCTACTCAGAAAGCAGAGTATGAATCTAAAACAGCTTCAACTAACGCCTCGAAAAATGTTTTAAGCGATGAGAAAAAAGCAGCCATTGAAGAAATGGGATTTGTTTCGTTGTTGGAAATGAAGTGCGGAAAACTGTTTCGTTCAATGTGTCATTTTTTAGTTGATAAATTGAATCCTGGTAAATCATCAATCCTGCTACATGGGAAAACACTTAAGATATCTGTGGATGACTTCGTGCGCATAATGGGTGTTAAGGATGGAGGAGAGGAAGTTGACTTCACCGGATCCATGGATGACCAACACATTGTAAAGGTACGAAATTCATTTTTGGGCGGGAAGAAGCTTTTAAAAAATAATGAGTTGAAGCAAATAATGGTGGGGACAGAAGAAGCAGACGACTTTTTCAAAGTTGGTTTTGTCATGTTTGCTCTATGCACGTTGCTATGTCCAACCACTTCCGTGTATGTGAATTTAAAATATCTGCTTCCGTTAAGAGATAGCAAGGCAATAGCAAAGAAAAATTGGGCAAGTTATTCATTCAGATTTTTATTAGACAGTGTCAGGTCATTTAAGGAGAACAATCAAGTTTGCATCGGTGGTTGCTTGTTATTCATTCAATTGTTTTACCTTGATGCTATAGCTCATGGTAGCGTACTTGTGGATAGGTCTGTGCTACCACTCACAGTGTGGGGGAAAGTAGAGACCGAAAAAATGAAGAAGTGGCTACAAAAAAGAGGGGGGTTTGAAAGTGATAAGGTAGGTGTTATGAAAACTGAATATGGAGGTCTCGGAGATGATGCCAAAACAATGACTCACTTTGCCGAAGAGTTAAGTTCAATAAGAAAGGATGTGGCAACTTTGGTGGCCACTGTTGCTCGTATGGACGAATCGCTCTCCAAGGTTATGTCTGAGTTATCATCAAAAAATGAAGAGAAAGAAAGAACATTGCGCACTTCATGCCCTAATGAACGAGAAGTTAAACTGAATAAGGAAGATGATAACATGTTTGAAATGGGGTGTGATGGGGGACAAGAAGACCTTGGAAATACTAAACCTCCAAAAAGTAGGCCAAACAAAGAAGACGGAACTCCCAACGAGCAAGATGACAATGTGAAAGGATTTGCAACTGTTGATAAAACTTACGCTCCCTCTGTTGAAGTCATCCGTGACAGAAAGCATGCAAAACAACCTCAGAATGAGGTATGATGAGCATTGGTTGTAGCTTGTTTGTATTTGTTTTCATAATTTCACTTGTTTGTTTACATGTTTGGATGATGACAATTATCGAGTATTTGATTTGCAGAAATCATTGTACTATGGATTATGTTGTAATTTTATTTGGTTTTGTCCCTATGTAATAACAAAGTTAGGTGTCCTTATTTTATGCAAATTCTTTGTATCATTTAATATATGTTTGTTTCAGTTATATTGATTTGTAAATGCTATTTCGTAATGATTTGTGACCACTAGGATAAAATGGGTCACAACGACGTAAAAAGTTTGTTCTTAGAGAATTGTAGTTCAACTTCAACAAGGGATCCGATAGTGACTCGTGCAACAGCGATTAGAAAGTCGGGTCCCCACAAGAGAACTCCTTATGAAGACGTCAATGTGTTGAAAGCTAAAGCAAATGCAAAAACCCGACAAGTAATTGCTCACGAGCGGATTATGAAGAGATTAAATGTCGGTCCATTCCGGATGAACAACGATATTTCTGAAGATGATAAAGATCTACTAAGTTTTGCATTTTGTTGCAATCCATTAGATCCAAATGTTTGGAGGTATACCCTGAACCAAATTTGTGAAATTAATTTTTATATGTGTTGTCATAATGACATAACAACAATTGATTAGAACACTTATTTTTTCTGTTTAACAGTGAACTACTCGTTAACACTGGTGCTGTAGCTATAAATCGTTGCCATTTTGGAAGCCTTGCCCTTGGGTCGCCTCTCTTTGATGATGTAAGGACTATGAATCGAATATATATTTAACTACTCATTAGTATATGTTTAGAATGTCGGTACTAGGATGCTAACAATCGTGTCTTATCTTGTAATAGGTAATCAATGTAATGGCAGAATATTTATATGATACCACCTCCACAAAGTGGTTTCTACCTACGTATTTTTGGTCGGTAAGTAAATGGATAAGATTAATTAAGGATATTTTTTGGTTAAAGGTGATATGTTATATCTCATAAAATATAGGACGGCGCCAAGTTTGTACGTCCCAGTGATCGTATGACGTCATGTGCTAGGACACACAAGCTTTGTCATCTCGCAAGATTTAATGGCCGACTAAAGGATTGCATGGAGGTGAGTTTCGTATGCAAGCTCCAATAATATCAATTATCGGTGATAATGAACGTACCACTTTTTTGCAGATATATATTCCGATGCACGATGACGTCATTGGTCACTGGTATCTTTTGGTTTGTGACATTTTCCATAAGAAAGCTGAAATTTGGGACAGTTTACCTGATGCGCGTCACAATAAGAAACGCGAGAACGATTGCCATATTACTGTAAGTGGAGAAGCTTTTGTTCAATGCAATTATACGTATTTCTTTTGCTAAATGTTACTAATGTCGACTATGTTCTTGTGTATGCAATAGTTGTGGTACCTAAACTTTGTTTTTCATGATGACATATTATCGGTATTTGGGACGGGGTGGACGTTCTCCTCCTTTTCTGTTGTGTCCCCATTGGATGCCAATCCCGTCCAACCTAATGGTGTGGATTGTGGCATTTTTGTCATAAGACACATGCAATATTATCGTCAATTGTGGCATGACCGGGTATGCATTGCGCATGTGTTATTTTTATGGTAAAAATGATTAATACGTAATGAAACTCTAAATATTTTTTTTTTTGGGTTGCAGTACGACTCTAATGTACAACGAATGCGACTTGCTATTGAGTTGCTCCGAAATTAAAAAAATCAATTGCGTGATGTGATAATACGTGAAACATTGAAAGTGATGGAAAATGCATATGATTTTATGGCGAAGGGGAACAAGATTGGTAATGTTGAGGTTAAAGACAAGGATGTGGCGGATGTCACCATCAGAAGAAAGAGGGTTTATAATCGGAAACAAAAAAAATCAGCGGTGACTATACCAGAAATACGTACAGGTCGCGGTCAGCCTAGACCTCGGCGCCGCTAACAAGGTTGGGTAATGGGACTCTAATGACTGACCAGTATATATTTTTGTGACCTTAGCTCTAATGCTGTGATGGTATTGGTTTTGGTGCATGCCCTATATTTTTGGAAGGAGGGTCGCCATGGTATAACATGACAACTTTTTTATTTTTTGTAAAGTGGTTTTCAAAGGATTATGACCATGGTTGGGTAGGACACCTTTTTTTGTACAACTAGGTCGAATGTCCTATTTGGTGTCATTTTTCGGTTTCCATATTATAGATTATGACTAGCACAGGGTGTCAAAATGCAATTTGGTGAAGTTAATATGTTAACTTTGTTGGGTAACCATATGTACGAACAATTGATGAAGTTAATATGTTAACTTTATTTTGTGCTGCAGCCTTGGTTCTGTTTTGGTGTTCCAGCGGATTTACCATATTGGGTGACAGTAATTGCCAGATCAGGGAACTGTAATTTATTGTTTCTGGATTCCAATTGCATTACAATGTCCAATTACTGCCTCCTGTTTGGCAATTGACAAACAGTACCTATGTATTTGTAATTCAAATGTGCGAAATCCTACTGCCCGCTTGGTAATTGGTAAACTACAGTGTGCAATTCCAGCCTCCTGTTCGATCTTTCTCCCTTTCCATGATTGAAGTACCTAAAAGAAAAAACAATGACTTTTAGTTCAAATCACACTAAAACGTAAATAAAATACTTTTGTTACTTTATATTTAAATATGAACAAAATAAATGACCACATCGCATTATGTAAAACCCCAAGTATTGTAATTCACAAATGTAAGGATATCGTTTACTAATTTGTGGAATGCCTAACTCATTCAATCCACCCCTTATACTTCTCCACAATGTCCCTGTATTTTATCTTGGTATTAATCAGGCTTGCAATGGGGGTCCCAAATAGCCTCACTACCTCCTTAGGCTTTTTGTGGGCCTCCATGTCATATTTTAAAGGCTTCCCACAAACGGGTAAACTTGTGATCGCACTAAAGGCCTTCGGGGTCATTGTCAGTTCCCCAACCTCATCGAGATGGAATGTATGTGTGGTGTCCAACCAACGCTTTGCCAATGCTGAAATGAGGTGTTTGTCTCTCCTTCCCTTTCGCGCAAATAAATTTGCGAACTCAGAAAATCCCGCTGCTTTGAATTTGTCTTTCACTGGAACAGGCAAATGATTTTGAAACCATAAACCACATAGTTTGTCATTGCCGCATCCCTTAATATGGGTACCCGAATTCTCCAAGTTTCCAAAATTTAATCAATCACAACAACACTTTCCATGCAACATATTTAGAAAACTGTCCATGCAGTTGGTGTTACACATATTCAATTGGCAAACAGTAATCCGGTAATTGCATTTGTGAAATCTAATTGGATCAATGGAAAGCAGAAAAATAAGTACGGAAAAACTAAACATACTCCCTAAACTCAATCAAATGTCCAAGGATTTACTTAGCAAGCACTTGGATTAATGGAACACAAAAAAAAAAAGTAAGCATACTCAACAAACTTGAAATGCAATTGTATTTACAAATCTTCAATTGGCAGACAGAAAGCAGGTAATTGAATATGTCAAATGTAATTGCATAAGTGAAGTGCACAAAAATTAGTTGAGCAAAACTAATCATACTCCCAACAGTCAATCAAATTGCAAAGGATTTACTTAGCACGCAACGGGATTCAGTGAACATACTTTCCTAATGATGCTTATAAAACAAACATATAAATAAAAAATAGCCACCTAATTCACAAAAATTACCAATATCTACCTTGTAAGATAAATGGTCAGTGACTTTGACATGTAGCACAGGATTGGATGCTTTGTGATTCTTGTGTACGTATCGTCTCACCCCGAACAATGGGTGATCTGCAGGGCTTTGGTGTTTTGGTTCGGAACCTTGCCCTTACTCAGTAGTTACAATAGAATTGCTGTTGTTTCCCTGTGCTTTTTTCCGAGGGGGCACCCCACTACTTTTCTTACCCTTGAGTTTGCAACGTGCCTCGGAAGTTGCCTTGTCGTTGGCCATGTGCTCCCTCCCAATACCCTCCTATGTTTAACCCATCAATTTAATGAAACAAAAACATATTAATATATATATA